CTGATGCAATGGAGGACCTACTGCCGCTCTGTTGATCGGGCGCTGATTGTGCAATACCGCGAACTTATCTGCGTTCTGTTGACTGTGCAGCAACTGTGAAATGTGCGATGAGTCCTAAAACGATGATCTATCTCTTTTGTGCAACATGGTGAACTTACCCGCGTTCTGTTGACTGAGCAGTGACCGTGAAATGCGTGATGAGTCCTGAAACGATGATCTGTCTCTTTTGTGCAACATGGTGAACTTACCCGCGTTATGTTGACTGAGCAGCAACTGTGAAATGTGTGATGAGTCGTGAATCGATGATTTATCTCTTTATGCAATATGGTGTACTTACTGCGTAACAGGGTTGGAATGAAGTCCTCATGCTCTCGCTCGCGGTGACTAGTTTATCTGCGTTAGCCGGGGTGTCTCACTGCCTCCTTTGGACCTATGAGCGGAAAAGGCTCTGAGCACGCTCCTCGCCTGCTGGCCGCCGAGGACCTCGGAAGCGGGCGCGTCGAGTGACTGACGGCGCTGCCTTTGGCTTCGACGAATAGTAGGCAACCCCTCCCCGGGTTTCCTCACAACTTTGGCGCCGTTGCCGGGGAGGGGATTGCACCCCCAGGCCTCGGCCTTCCCCAATCAACGGGGGTGTGTTGGCTAAACTTATTAGCTTTAAATAAGTTGACTAGTTGATTTTATTTTTTTTTCTTTAATTTCGTAATTCATTTTTTTTCGATATCTCCCGATCCGCGCGCTTTCGCGCGAGCCGCAAAGGGAGCAAAGTTCGCCGTCTCGTCAAGGCGAATGTTTTGAGAGTTTTTTTGAAAAATTCTAATGGTTAAAAAAGAAAATATGGAATTTTTTGTATTTTTATAATTAAAAATTCCAAAAATCATAAGTTAAAATTTTTAATTCATTTTTCCTCGATATCTTTTGATCCGCGCACTTTCGTGCGAGGCGCACGGGAAGCTAAGTTCGTCCTCTCGTTGAGGCGAACGTTTTGAGACATTTTTTGATAAATTCGAATGGCTAAAAAACGAGATATGAAATTTTTTGTATTTTTTTATTAAAAATTCTAAAAATTTGGATTTTTGTTTTATTGAAATGGCGGGGAAAATAAGCAAAATTAGGGGAACCCCGCGTGAACCAAAGTTGGTCCTTGTATTTTTTCCAACATTTTGAGACCCTAGTCGGGGAAAACGGACTTCGTTTAGACAAACGGCGAGCTCCAACAACGAAAAAATGAATTTCTTTGTAATTTTGTTTAAATTAAAAGAAAAAAAAATTAAAAATATAATCCGATAAATTTTTCTTCTAAACCTAGTGAAAGCCAAACAAAAAATTTCTCGCGTCGAGCAGGGGTTTGCGGTGTGCGTGCGATTGCGCGCAAAACCCAAAACCCTAATTAGGGGAAACCCTAATTAGGGTGAAGTCCTAACCCCAATTTTGAGAGAAGCGGGTAAGTAGAAGGAACCATAGCTTCTAGCTTCCGCGTTTGTTGCGGATTATTTTTTGTTAAATATATCCCGCAAGATTGTGGAAATTAATTTGGGAAGTTTTGCTCCATTAAATAATTAAGAATTATTTTACTTTTGATTTTGTTATTTAAAATCGATAAAAATTAAAATAAATATTAAAGATTGCGTAGGGGCATTTGTTTGACTTCAATGCACTTCATATTTACTTTACTTATTTAAGGGAATTTTTTCCGAACCCCATCCCACTGGGGGGAAGGAAAACTGCTGTCGAAATTTCTCGAAATTTCCCTTTTAATTTAATTTTTTGCTAATTAATTAACAAAAATATTTAAAAATGAAGTTAAATAAATTTTCTTTTTTTTTATATTATTCCTTTTGATATTTCCCCTCCGGCAACGCTGTTTGAGGGCTTCGCCCGAACCTTATCCCAACGGGGGGAGACGAAACGCTGCCGAAATTTTAGTAAATTCCCCAAATTTTATTTCTACCCCTAAAAACTTCAAACTCGGCGGGCTTATATGTGTATTGATCCTTAATATATATAAACTAAGAAAAATATTTTATCCTAAGTAAATACATATTTTTTAATTTATAATTGAAAAATACAAAAAAAATTCCTAGAATAAGAAGGGAAAGAGACGCTGCGGTAACCGGGGTTCAGGTGAACCTATTGGCTTGTTCCCGAAGGCCTGAGATAAGTGACGGGAATTATTAATTTAAACGATTAAAAATCTCTTAAAATTACGAAAATGGCTTAAAAATTCAAAGAGTGAGTACGCTCGGCTCTTAATTTTGGGTTTTTAACTAAGGAACAGGGTCCGTTGCTCGGGTACCTACTCGAGGGTGCAGTAAACAGAACTCCCTCGAGTTGAGCCCACGCCTTATATTCGAGGGAACTCCAATATAAGGCCTATAGGCCAATCCGAAACCGGGATTTCAACACCCTTTCCTCTTTAGATCAATCTAGATTAGTACGACTTCGGTGCGGCTCCGATACGCAAAGGCTCGGTCGATTTGTGGAAAGTGTCAGTTAGGCTATCGCCACGCCTTCTTTCCAATCCCTTCTGTACTTCTCTCTACCAATGTCAATTGAGTTTCTCTCGCATCCCTATTTCTGACTATTCTGAGTCTTCTTTTTCTCATACGACAGCTTGCTGTTAGAGGTGTTTCCCCATCCCACCTGTCCTTCTCACTAAGTTTTTTGCATACTGGAGGGTGTCGCTGATCAGGGTTGCGGCCCTCCCGCACACCTCTTCTCTTGGGCTATGCTAACCAGGGTTTGTGACGCTCCCGGACAACTCAAAATTGATCCGGGCTGTCGTCCGTAAACTTTAATTTCAAGCCAGCTCAACGCCCCAACAGAAGAAGTTCCTCGCGTAGTTGTTAGGACATAAGGGACTGTTTACAGATAGGTCCGGGCTGCGAGTTCTGTCATAGGTCCGGGCTGCTGCTACTGTCATAGGTCCGGGCTGTTGCTACGGTCATAGGTCTGGGCTGTTCTACGTGGCGTAAGTGCCCGACTACAACTTCTGGTAGCCTATGAAACCAGACACGATGGGGCCACAACCGACCACGGGCGAGGCAGGTGAGGAACACAGGACATCGCCCGACCGTGCACTGAGGGGACTGAAGGAACGAATTAGGCTGGGAGCACCTCTGAGATGGGCTGACCAGACCAATGACAGGGAACCTGACGTAACGGTCGAACCAGTCGTGACGGAGCCGGTGGAGGCATTGAAGACAGGAACCTCAAGCGATCGACGAGAAGCGACGAAACGACACTCCCCCGAGTCTGAGCGGAAGGAAACCATGGCGGATAGGCACAGGGACGACTGGAGAGAGAGTTCGAGGGATTCCTATTGGAGGGACAGAGATAGAGACAGAGCGCCGCCCAGGCGAGTCTTCGACCCCCAGACAGGGGAGTCGCATCCGCTCCCTTACGATAGCAAGGATCGCTATATTATTACGCACAAGGCCTCTGAGCTTCCTACCTTTAGGGGTTATGACATCACAGAATATCTGGAGAAGTGGGAGCTTCATGCAAGCCGGAGTCAGTGGTCGGAGGAGGAGATTGTCGAAAACTTCCTATTTAATGTAGATCCAAGTCTCGGCAAGGAAGTTAAGGAAGCCCGACCGAAGGATGAAAAGTAGACCACATATAAGAAGAACCTCATTGAACTTTACAAGTTGGAGGATAACAAGTACTCCATCAAGGACCTTGAGACCATGACTCAAGATGAGGACGAGAGCGTTAGGGCTTTCGGGAAGCGTTTCCAGAAGATCTCTGATGTGCTAATGGAGAAGGGAAAGATCTCAGAGGTCGAACGCTGTACTATTTTTATTGGACACCTGTCCAAGGGGAGACAAAAGAGTATACTTAGAGATCACCCGCGCGACAAGCTTGACTTCCCCGAAGTCCTAAAGCTCGCGATAAAGGCAGAGGCAGACGACTACAAGGACTTGGTATGGAGAGGAATGAGGAGGCGAGACTTCTCTGTCTATAAAGAGTATGTCACTCATAGATGCCCTGACTTCAAGGACTATCCCTGGTCTGAAAAGAATGAGGCGGTAGCTGAGGAAGTGAAGGAGATAAGGGACATGGTAAAGGGATTGACAAGGCTGGTTACAGAGATTGTGACCAATACGGGAGCCACGACATACCGGGACAAACCCGGAAGGCCCTTTTCACTTCGGTGGGACCGTAGGAACAGTGATTCCTGGAGGAGTGTTGAGGATAGAAATCCTCGAACGCTAACCGATTATCAAGTAAGGGAAAGACCGACGAGACGGATACAGGAACGACACATATGAGAGGTCGGACCGAGGCAGATACCGGGGTGGAAGATATGAGAGAGGAGTTCGAGACGGAGACCGACGAGATGACTCGCGAGGGCGGTATGACCGCGGGGGTTTCTCGGAAGATCAGCTCGACGATTCGCGGGGTAGGTACGACCGAGGAGACCGACGTGATGATTTATGCGGGCGATACGACCATGGAGACCACCGGAATGATTCACGGGGGCGATATGACCAAGGATCTGGAGGAGACCGGCGCAATGACTCGCGCGGCCGGAATGACAGAGAGGGATATGGTGCCTCATCCGAACCGTATCCCAAGTCCCCTGACCCCAGAGCAGTGAGAGGTTCGACCTCCGGGGGCGCAGACGACAGGTCTCCCACTCCCAGGAACTCTTGTGTCTACTGTAGAGGGGATGATCATATCAAGAGAGACTGCCCGAATCCAAACGGGCAATAGATGAGAGACTTGTCGTGCTTGATGACCGCAAGTACGTCAAGTGGGCAGATGATCTGGGAGACGTATCGATGTTCCCTTCGATGAACGAGAATGTTGAAGCGAGGAGAGTAAAGCCGAGTAAAGGAAAGGAACCGGTTAGGAGCCAGAACATCAAGATAACTTTCGAAGGAGATATGGCAACCACACTCATAAGGGTGGCAGCTACCAAGTCGGCAAGGGGGTCTACATCGAAGAAGACTGACACAGATTACGTGATGGCGGAGAAGGACGGACAGCGGATCGATAGAGAGGAGGTTATTCTTTCGCCACAAAAGCGGTGAGTGAAGAAGTTCTTGATGAAGAGTTCGCTGGATGAGATTGACACGGTCGAGCCATTGAGACAAGCCCTTCGGCAGCCCATGCAGTGCTCCATCCTGGAGTATCTGGCAGCATCCAAGCCGGCTCGTGACGAGTTACAGATGATCACGCGGAAGACTCGCATACCTCTATCGGAGGAGGTTCAGGTGGCCTCTAAGGCAGATGCTCCTACCGTAGCAGTATCGGAGGTGACTGCTAGAGCAGAACGCATGGCGACAGTTCTTTTTGATGGGATGGAAGGTGTGCCTCCAGACAAGTTTTACATACTTAGTAGTGGGACCGTGGAGGCGATCCTAAACGATAGAGCGGTACTAGATGCTGTGATCGATAACGGCAGTGAGGCTGTCATTGTAGACGAGGACCTGACAGAGCAAGTTGGACTGGGTCCCGATAGGTCATACTTGTTTGAGATAGAGACGGCTGACAGGAGAAAGCAACATATCACAGGAGTTTGTCACAAGGCAGCCATAGAAGTCCAAGGGGTACGAGTGACTCTGCCAGTCTTTGCAGTCAAGAACTGCAGCTCTGACCTGCTTTTAGGACGGACGTGGTTCAGCCAAGTGCATGCGGTGACGATAGAGCGATCGGACGGGAGCCAGACACTATCCATTAATAAGCTAGATGAGACGTGGGTTATGATTGAGACGGTGGAGCCTCGAGATCCGAGGAACAGAGCAGCTCTTGCTGAGGAGTGGGACCCAGTGATCGGATTAAGTCATTACCTGTCTCCAGCCGCGCGGTGCGATTTCGCGAGAAGAAGTACAGGCCTCAACTTACGAAAGAAGAAGGGCAGATCGTCGAAGTGGAAGATTTAGGAAATCGGCTGATAATGGATGGGAACTCTTATCTAAAGGAAAGGAACGAAGAATTCGGCGGCGTGATATTTGTGTCTTTTTTAAGGGCACAACCCCCCCTACGCGGAGCAACCCAAACACCACAAGCGAGTAGCTCAGAAAGTTAAACCTGTTGCGGTACGTCGAGAGTGATCTGCGCTAGAAGGAATATCTGAAGAGGAGATCGTCAAAGAGATTAAGGAAAGGAAAAAAAAAGAGTTGCAGCCTTTAATAGAGGATAGAATAGCACGGATGGATATCGACGATGGGAACTTAACCCCGCAGGAGGAGAGATGGTTAATGGAGGCTATATATTCCGCCGAATGTATAGTGAAAAGAGTCTTATATATGGTATACCAAAGACAACTACATCTATTAAGTGACAATACACTTTAGGATTCACTTAGTCATTTTTTCTATCTGACATATTATATCTCGGCGTATATTCGGTGTTTCGCTACCGAAATACACTTCGGGATTTTCGGGATTTCACTTAGTCATTTTTTTTCAATCTGACATATTATATCCCGACGTGTATTCGGTGTTTCGTTACCGAAATACACTTCGGGATTTTTGGGATTTTACTTAGTAATGTTTTTTCAATCTGGCATATTATATCCCGGCGTGTATTCGGTATCTCGTTACTGAAATACACTTCGGGATTTTCGGTATTTTACTTAGTCATTTTTTTCGATCTGGCATATTATATTCCGATGTGTATTCAGTGTTTCGTTATCGAAATACACTTCAAGATTTTTCGGATTATACTTAGTCATTTTTTTTTATCTTGCATATTATATCCCGACGTGTATTCGGTGTTTCGTTACCGTCAACTTACCGAAATACACTTCGGGATTTTCAAAATTTTACTTAGTCATTTTTTTTTATCTGGCATAATATATCCCGACGTGTATTCGGTGTTTTGTTACCAAAATACGGTTCGGGATTTTCGGGATTTTACTTAGTCATTGTTTTCGATCTGACATATTATATCCCGACGTGTATTCGGTGTTTCGTTACCAAAATACACTTCGGGATTTTTGAGATCTTACTTAGTCATTTATTTCGATCTGGCATATTGTATCCCGACGTGTATTCGGGGTTTCGTTACCGAAATACACTTCAGGATTTTTGAAATTTTACTTAGTTATTTTTTTCGATCTGGCATATAGTATCCCGACGTGTATTCGGTGTTTCGTTACCAAAATACACTTCGGGATTTTCGAGA